CAGTAAAACACAGCATATATGCACTGCTGCTAAAGCTGTGGTCGTCAGTGTAGCGTTGCGTTGGATTGGTAATGCCTGCGGTTGCTTTGCTAGGGAAATAACAATCCATGAAATGTTACATTAAAGCGGCATTAAACACAGTTTTAAAATTCGATAAAATGACTAATGAAATGAATGTTTTAATCATAATATGAAAAAGCCCTTCACCTGATTTAACCCAGCAGACTGCAGATGAGGCAGCAGCTGCAACATTAAAAACCAAATGAATCTGATAACAGTTTCTATGCAGTCGATAGCAGCAACCATCCATTCATTAGCTTTCCACTAATCCATTTCAGGTCATGGTCAGGCCAAAGCGCACTGTTGGCTGACATTGTACTGGAGGCAGTGGTGCAATTAACAGTGTTTTAATAACCTTCACATGTTTGAACTGGTACACAACTGCAGTTACCCATTGTGGCCTGAGGAGGTTGTGAAACATCCTTATTTGAAGAGAAGGTGGTCGGTGGTCTTAAATCTTTTGCCTAATAATTAGCAGAATTGGTCGCGTGGAGTATTTTGGGTGGTTGTCAAGGTTAAATTTTCTTAACACATTAATGTTGGCTTTCTTTGTGGTAGCTTGACAACACATTTGGTTTCTAGTGTATTTCAATTGAGGAAGCTTGTTGTTTTTGTGCATTGATGCTTCATTCGAACATTATGTTCCTTGGCAAATCCAGTAAGGTGAGAACTGTTAACAACTGACAGATGTTTCTAACGATGAGGTATTCACTTTTGATACCCTGCAAATATTAGGATTTCTAAAAAAAAAAGCTGTTAGTTATTAGAATTTAAAACTAGCAGTTTTTATCCTTTTGTTCTCAATTCATTGGAGGCTCATCGAAGGAGAGCTCCCCGGGGACGACTTGGACAGTTGACGGGACCACATTCTGTATAGAGAGCCAACTATGAACCATCACATTCCAACCTGGTACTTGCTTTCATGATAAATTGATTGTCCAACTAAACTAATCGTGGTTTTTGAGCGACTAGTACCTGGAGAAAAAGTGTGTTATGAACCAGTTGACTATGACCTTAAAACAGTGATAAACACTAATGTGGGTGCAACTATTATTACCCCTTAAAATTTAATTAGGTCAACAGCGCACCAGCTGCACAGCAAAGAGAGAGAGCACCAGCAGCACCAGTAGAAAGTCAACTTTTATTATTAGCATCTGAAATAGTCGTGCAGTGGTGATGACAACAGGAACTCTCCAACTTAACCCTCCAACAACCGCATCAGTGTGGAGTATTTGACCCACGTACTCTCATGTCGATCAAAACAGAGAGGAACAGTGAGGATGAATGACAGGTCTCTGTGCTCTGAACAGCTTTAAATGTTTTAACAATGAATAGCAAATATAGACAATGAGTAAGGAATTCTAGTTTCCATCAACCCTCGTGCAACAACAAAGTATTTTTCATTATAGGCATTGGAGAATGTATAAAGTGTTTGTTAATCTCAAAATCTGCTATTAGACTGTGTACTTTTCCTGTCCTAGCAGCAACCAGGATTTGACAGACAGTGTGTCAATCACACACATAATTATTGTTCAATAAGCAACAGTCTGACAGTCCCTTAGTTTCTCATTAATGTTTGTGGATTTTACTCTTTACTACCAGCAGTGAGCCTTTTAGTGTCTCGCTGCTGCTTCAAACATAATTATTGGGTGTCACTCTTAGAACCAGATGGCCACATTCATTGCTGATTACTGGTCTTTGATGGCAACACAGCTCATTAAATAGAAACAAACTTTTAAAAGGAAATTTGCTGTCATCATAATGCACACCAGCACGACCTCACGGCCACCGCAGACGTGCAGCCGCATCACAGAGTATAGCTTTTAGCACTTCTGATTCCATCATTTGAAGAACCACCAAGACCTTTGAGATGGATTAATTGCCTGAAAAGATTGACGGGTACTTAATTGTTCATTATCCATCAATTCAATGTGCAAATGTGTGCTTCCCTGTAATTTTAATTAGCTTGGCAACATCGAATGGTGGGTGGAGGCTTTTGATGCAGTCACCGTTGTGATTGTGATTGTCTACCTCTCTGACCTCTAACCCCTCTAAACCCCAGAGCCATTTTTCTTGTGTACTTCACCGTTGCACTGGCTTCGTCTTGATGTTTTTGTCTTGTACTTCCAGCACTGTTGGCGTTGATTTCCAATTTATAGTTGAACATGGGGAGGAGATCTATGGGGAGAAGAAAGCTAAATAATTCCTCTTACTTGCTGCAGGGCTTGGTGAGCACCACTCATTAATTAAAGGGAATGTATTAGTCATGACTCCCACCAAAGCTTTTGCATATTAATCAGGTGTTTTAGTGAGTGTGCACCTTGTGAGTTTCTGCAGCCACAGGCCAGGTCCTGACTGGTACTTAAAGACAGTTGGTGGTTTATACATAAATATAGGACTCATCAGCAGTGCTGGGGCAGTGTTGCACTTTATATAATTGATTATAAACATATTTTATTTGTATTACATTTTTCAACATATCTTGTAGTTTTTCTGATGACACATTAAACACTATATTATTTGATGAATTATGGTAGCTGCAGTATCCATGCAATGCAAATGCGGAAAAAAAAGTTTGTCATGTCCATTATAGGGAGAACAAAGAGAGATAATCATTATTTTACTGGTTTATTTACAATGTCCTTCTATTAATGTGCATTCCAAATCATATTTTACTTTTTCTGTAGTTGTGGATTACTTGAACCTAAGAGGTTTGATGTGTTCTAAAGACCACTCAGAACTGTTCTCATCAGGACCTTGCACTTAAGGTGCCAGTAGTAAAAAATGTGTCATGTCTAACATGTGGATCTTCACATTATAAATGATAAGGCAGTGGTCCTGCAGGAAGGTAATGTGTAATGTGTTGGATGAGGGAACGCTGTTGTTTATTAGAATGGGACACTTTTTTGTTGTTTGTTCATTCTTCTTAATCCATTTTATTGCCATAGAGGACGCGAGAGCCGAGACTGGCCTGGATGCAGCTTATACGATAGTTGACTTTTTCTCATATGTAAATAACTGTTCCATTGTCATCTTGTGTACTTGTGCACTCCCCTACTCTGTTTACAACATGTCCTCCACCTGTCACCATGTGCACTCCCCTACTCTCTGGTTTACAACATGTCCTCCACCTGTCACCCTGATCACAGTTTTCCTTAATAACCGTCATTTCCAGTGTCATTGACACTCACACAAAATATGACACTGTTTAACACAACTGACAGTCATGTTGCTTCTCCTGTTTATCAAAACAATGACTCTCTAAGGGAACAGCCATGTGAGAGTGAGGAAACACTGTTACATTACTATGCTGCAACGAGGCTGATTAGAAAGGTGTTTACAATGGATGTTAATGGAGAGGGGGTAACAGTATACAAAAGCCACAGTGCAGTACGTACCTCAGTAATGACATCACGGTTCGGTACGTTTTGCAGGTATTTTTGCTTGAGAAGCAAAATACTTCCATGTATGTGTACAAGAAACGCTACATGCTAATGATGAATTAGCCTGCTTGAAAGTTCACGATTACTCAAAAGATGTACCTGTACACAGGATTCTGACGACGACACCTGACACTGACTCAAATAATGACTTGTAATGATGTTTATAATAGTGATGATAGAGACGAGTGTCATGGCTGATTTGTAACAGAAGAATCGCAGCAACTTTGAAACTGAAGACAGAAGGTAGACCTGCTATGATCATCACATTGACGGAGTAGGATCAAGACAGACAACATATTAAAATAGAAGACCTTTGGAGGTGCGTGTACCTATAGCACTCTATACCAGTGTTTCCTAAACTTTTTCTGGGGACCCATATTTTAAAAGTCACAAACCTTCGCGACCCAAGTCAATAGACATTATTCGTAAACTCCTGGGAAGCATGATGCAGGATCTCTTGCGACCCACCTGAGGGTGGCAACCCAGTCTTTGGGAAACAATGCTCTATAGGATTTAACTCAAATTAATGAGTCAGCATTTCTTGAGTGAACCCTAAACAGGTCATTATACTGCTGAGTCTGCAAGATTTTCTTTCAATAAATCAGGTCTTATGGTCGTAAAATTCACATGGCCCATGAAGGACCTCATAAAATTTAATGCAAGGTTAAGGAGATAAATTTTAAAATTGGACCAACAATGGTCTCCCTTACCTGCTGTCTTTGAGTATAAAACTTTGATGAATGTGTTATCTTAATTCTTGATAATAATGGATTTTATTGTTTTGGGTTTAGGAAAATGAGGTGGAAAAAAAATGTTACTGGGATGTACACTAGTTTACCATTACCACAGCCAACTACACAGACAGTGAACAAAGCTTGGACTACAATCATGCATTTTAAGCGATTTTAAGTGAAAAGCGTCACTTAAACAGAGTGGCATTTTCCATGTTTCAGTTAAAAATTTAATTTAATTAACACATGCACAGAATTGTCAAACCAGAAATTAGCATATTCTGAATTTAGTGAATTTTCAAGGGTTTTATTAAATTGCTCAAATTGTGACAGAAAGTCCAACATCATTTTTGATGTTAAAAAAAATGAACTGGAGGAAGAAAACATATAACCCTGGCTGACTGCTGCACAGCCGGTTGTAGTGAATGTTATGAAGTATCTGTTCAAGTGTACTGTAAGTATTTAAATGTATTTGAAACCAGATGAAGAAAAGCTGAATAAAAAAAACAAGCTGAACTGCTGACCAATCATCATTCTTGTTATTTACACTACTTTCCTCTTCACCTACAGTCCCACATGCTGCCGCTATTTTGGTAAACTGTCCGCCTTAATTCATTTGTTAGACATGTAATTATATAATTATGAATAACAAGGTCAGTCCAGTTTTGTCAGAACGATTCTGCGTCATTCTCATGGCTCCTGTCTGTTGACCGCCCCCACATGTTCCACACAGAAAATGCAGACTGTCTCTGTGTCTCCCCCTCAGAGCATGATGAGTGTGCCAGCAGTCAGAGCTTGTGTGATGAGAACGCCATCTGCACCAACACCATTCGTGGACACCTGTGTACCTGCAAGCCGGGCTACGTGGGCAATGGGACCATCTGCAGAGGTAGGTTCACGAACCAAGTGTACAGATACAAAGACTCAGACCTCCATCCACCTTTCTTGATCTTCACCTGCTATCATTACACTCAGCCTTTAACCCCTTGACCCTGCTGCATCATACACCTTGAGAGGAAATAAACTAAATGTTATTGCATTGCACCTTTATAAAGGACATTAGTTAGAGGTACTAGACAGGTTCTACATTGGGTTTCAGCAGTTTGTTTTGATGTGTACAACTGCCTTCAGTAATTCACTATCACTAAAAAGTACCAAGTATTTTAAAGCTGTCGTTCTCAACAAATCTACTTCTGTTTTCTGGAATTAATTGCAGTACAAGATTTTGATTACCGTCATTCTATGACTTTACATTTATTTGGCATATATGTAAAAATATATGAACACAATAAACTGCCAAGTCATGAGCTGTAAATTACTTGAGGCAGACATTACATACAGTATAAAGAATATAATTAATCATATAGTACACATTACTTGTGTATATTTTAATTATGTTTAAAAAGAAGACTGATCAAAGTAGCAGTGATCAGTCAGAAAATGAGAAGCACAGTTCCATATTTTAGTATGGTAAGTATTGGAACCGCTCAACTACATTTCTTCTAATCCTAAATCCTGAAGAGTTTTTACCCGCATCATCTGCATGTACAGTCTGCATGTTGTGTTTCTGTGAAACTACGTGTTAGACAGTTTACTTTTAAGTTCCACCCAATTTGCCTAAACCACAACTGTAGCGTTAAATAAGCTTTGAACTGACACTTGTCGTCAGCAGCCATGTCACAGTATCTGCAAATATTTAGTTAGTAAGAGCCTTCGGCCAGGACTAAGCCTCTATTTGTGTCACAGCATAAAAATATTGTCACTTTTACTAACACATGTGGACACCACCACTGTCAGTCTTCTACAGAAGGGTAAGTGAAAACTGCTGTATTACACCAGAATTATATTTCACACAGCAACACACAGTTTTGCCTGACAAGCCTATGGATGACTCAGGATTTGGGTTGTAATTTATACAGAACAAATCTCAGCAAGTTCTGTTGGAGGATTATTGTTCTTTGACCTTGAATGGTCTTTAATGTGAGTGAAACAAACAAAACGTTGACATTTCTCTCTCTGTCTCTCTCTCTCTCTCTCTCTCTCTCTCTCTCTTTCTTTCTTCCTTCTCACCTTTCTTTCTTCCTTCTCACCTGTTTGTGTATACAGTGTATGCAGCCCTTTCAGTTGTTATACTACATTCCTGTGTCCACTCAGCCATACATTATTTGAACTATATTTAACAGTGTATTTTCACAGAAGGGTTTTTCTGCAGTGGGACTGTCTCTGCAGGTTCACAGCAGATGAAACAGAGCAGTCAACAATAGGCCTTAGTGCTGTTTCAGGACAGTGGCTCAGGCTTGGCAGGGTGATGACCAAAAAAAGGGATTAAGTACTCATTTGGTCAGTCTTGGCCTTTTATTAACTACAAACCTCTAGAGGACAATGTCTACTTAGCAGCAGGTTTAATTCACTCCATAACTAGTATAAGGTTTAAAGTCCTTTCTTTGTCAGTAAAGCTAAATATATATTTACACATATTATCCAATATATAATAGAAACTTAAATTACCATTTACATATTTATAATGTTACAAACCACAGGTCACTGCACAGTTTAGTTCTGCCTTATAGACACCAGCACATTCACAGATAAAGAGATGGATGGATGGATGGATGGATGGATGGATAGATAGATAGATAGACAGATAGATAGATAAACAGAAAGACAGACATAGACAGATAAGGCTAACAGAAATGTATTTAAAATTACTTTAATTTTGTGTACATGAGGCTTAATGGAGCCCATTCATATTAGTTTTTTACTATGTCCTTATGCTTGGCTGCTGGCCAAGTGATGAGAGAACCATTAAGTTTAATTATCCTTAAATTTTCCAAACTACTTAAGCTCTATTTCAATAATCGTGAAAGAAAAAAAAAAGTTATATCAGGGGAAATCCTCTGACTGGTGTGGTGATGGTGTGAGTCTTGACCAGATGAGTGAGGAGGGTGGGAGACCGCGTGCTTACACAGTAAAGTATGTGAGTTTAGTTTTATTCATACTCTCACAGGAATTAAACAAAGGTCAAGTTGAAACTCTGTAGACACACCGACCCTTTAGCTCATGTTTTCCATGTCAGTTGGTCATGTTTTGTTCGGCAGTGGTGTCAGTTAATACTGTCCTAATTGATTGAACTGTTTAGAGGAAAGCACGTTAAACACACTGAGTGCATGTATGGAGGGCATGCTACATGGTGAAGGTGAAGATAATGAGAAAAGTGGGACTTGAGCTGTTGAATAAAAGATGAAGGAAGGAGGCTGTAAACAACAGACAATAATAATACCTGGGCGATTAGATCCTTGTTGATTCAACTGTTAGGAATCCATTCCTTACTGTTCAGGTTTGTGCTTTGCATAAATGTTGGTCATTCAGTGGTGTTAATCATACTTCAATGTATTAAATATACTGCACACAAGAGGCCTCTTGTTAACAAAACCCAATTCTAATGGCAGGGTTTAGTTAGAAGACTACATATAAAGTAAACTTTGCTTTCATAAATTCATTAATTTGAGTCATAGTTCTGATTTGTTCAGTCAAGAACGACTAAGTCTTTGATTTGGGTTCAGGCAAGAACATCAAAAGAGTAAAACTTTTACTACAGGGTGACTATGTTGAGCTAATATATGATTAACCCACCACCATCATCCACGTCAGTGTCACCTCTCTTCACCGACAGCTTTGATGATGTCGTTAAACTGTCTACATTTGAACTCCCTTCAGTCTGTTTGTATTACGTGTTGATGCACTTCAGTTTGAGGGATCGTCACCTCTCTTACCCCCCCCCCCCCCCCCGAGATCTCATTATACTCTGATGGTGACAATCTTAGCTAATCGACCTCTGACACCCATTTGGTTCCCTCATACAACACCACATCCTGCTCAGTTAAAATGGAACCTCGACTCCTCAGACTGTTGTTGCTAATAAGACAAAGAAAGTCTGTTTAGCTTGCCTCAGGCCCCAAGTCTGTAGCACATGCAGCTAAATTTGGTTTACAATGTGAAATCCTGCCATAAACCTGATGTAATAAAAGCTGCACGGTTGATGGGCGTCTTCGTTGCCCTCCAGCTTTTCTCCAATACCACTAACCAAAGCAGCTATTAGTAAGACACGAGATAAAGACAAGTTTGTTTTTACTGAAGCAGGGTGTAGTTTTGAAGCTGTGTTGAGCAGACCAGACTGTTGTCTCTAAAAATGGAAATTGATGCATATTAACCAATTCATGTTTTTTTGTCCAGATCACCTATAAATTTGATTCCTTTTTATTCTTTTGTTGATACTTTTTCAATTTGGATATTAAATCTAGTACAAATAATATCTGCAATAATTCTTTAATGTACATTATGCATTAACATTTGGTATTTTATTTAAAAGTACATAAAAACACAACATGTTCTTTATAGGAATTCAAATGTTAAAATCATAACACCTGCAATTCTACACTTTAAATTAGGTTGTGTCTGAAAGTTATGAAAACAGATGTTTTGAAAAAAAAAAACAGCAATTCTCAGAATATGACACTCAATCTTCAGTGTTTTGCAGACATATCTAAAAAGTATCTGAATCAGAATCTATTGGTGGATCCGCCTGACTGATTTATCAGAATCATCTGTAAACTCATCCTCATCCTGTCCTGGTGGACATTGTTCATATTCTATATTGAAAGCAGGTTGATGAATGCCACAGTAACACTGAAAAGGACCTAATGACAGAGAACACTGTGATGGCTTTGCTGCATATGAAAGACACTGCATTGATTGTAAATTAATTACATTGTGTTTGTGTCTTTTTTTTTGTGGTCAAAGCTCTGGATGTCTTGGAAATGACCACACAGTTATGTCTTTTTGGCAGTTCTCTAAATCAAGGATTATACATATGATGTGAAATGCGACACCAATCAATCAGTCATGTTCTGTGGAATTGTCAAGTGACCAGACTAACAGTTCCCAGGAATCAGACCACTGGGAGCAGGTTCTCTACAAGAACCAGTTCTCAATCCCAATCTCTTGTTGTGCCTTATGGTAGAGAACAGTGAGAGAAGTGAGAACAGCTCTGCACTGTGCAACTGTGACTGTGACTGAAGAACCGATAAAAATGTAACTGTAGCATTCAGACTACCATTTAAACCTATATCTGTGTTCTGTGTGTTCTTGCCTGCTCTGCCTGCATAACGTTCCTTTCAAATCATTGGGTGAAAGTAAATGGTTTTGTTGTTCCACTGCAGTATTAATGGGATAAAAAAACTCAAATTACAAAAACCAGTGAATCAGTATTTACCAACAACAGTTTATAACAACAGCAACACTGCAACTTTTCAGTCATATATATATACATTCTTCATTGTGGGGGCTAGAGTGTAAGGGCTGAGTCTTATCCGTTGTAAAAATACATCACGATACCCCTTGCTCACTAGCTGTTTGTTGGACACCATAGAAAATACTGCATGGGTGAACTTCTGTGATTTCCCCTGATAGGCTCCTGTAACAAATGAGTAATGTGTCTTCAGGGTGTCTCTCAGTGAGACGTCCCTTCCCACTCTGCCTGGAACTTTGCCTCAGTGTTCTCTCGGGAGCTCAACACGGCCAGACACATTCACTACAGACAGTCAGTCTGCCGTGCCTGGGCCTCGTGTGCTTTATCACAGACTGAATGGTAATTACAGCCTACAATGAAAATTCATTACAGGATAGTAATTACTGCCTATAGGGTTGGGGCGGCAGGGCCGTGTAGCTTTGGTGGCTTTCAGGTGCAGCACAGGTTTGTTTACATGCAAAAAGTCAATATATGAAAAATGTGCTGCTGTTGTGGAGTCCACATCTGTTCACAAACAATTGATTGGTTCAAATCACAATATTGATCACTGCTTCTGGGGGATACAGACGGTGGGGGGTGTA